CCTTTGCCCCGATGCCTTGCAGGACGTGGATGACTGGGATCTGACTGAGCTCAACCAGGACAACTGGGATTCTGCGGAGAGCGGGGACGACGACGTCCCGTCCCCGCCGCTGGTAGGTTTCTTTTGCTTTGAACCTTGACTCCCAATTTGAACGCGTTCCTTTGCGAAGCTCAGTCGGCTCTGAGAGTCAGCCCCGTTGCCATAAGTTGAAAATGCCGTTCGCCGGTTCCAGCCCCCCCAAAGGGCGACGCTTTTCTCATAGTTCCGCTCACTTCCGCTGTCCGGAACATCCAAACCGGGTCCTCAAGGACCGCCGTCCCGCCCGTTTCCCCATCCCTCCTTGCTATAAAAGGATCAGGATCCTTTTGGGGGTTCCGCCGATGAGTCCGTCCTTGGAATCGGGCGCGCCGCAGTAGGGAGGCGACGCAGGAGAGCGGCCCCGGAGGACCGCAGTCAACCGATTCGCTCCTTTTCCATCGCGTTCTTTTTTCAGGCAATTGTGGCCGGATCCCGAGCCGCTCGCCGTTCCGCGCCAACGAAACCAAATTGGTTCTGAGAACTGATGGCAAACTCCTCCCCCTCTCCTCAAGGTTCCCATCGGGCGAGACCCCCTGGGCCGCCTCAGCCCCGCCTCGTCCGGCGACACGGCCCGCTCGTCGGACGAAAGCATCGAGCGCGGCCGGCCGAGCGAGTCGCCGTCCGAAGAAGCGGCGGAGGGCCTCCCGGAGCCTGCGGCGCCCCCGCTGGACAGATGCGGGAGCGCCGCTCTGCTGCGGCAGCTTCTGGAGGACGCTGGCCAGGACAAAGATCCTGATGTGTGGAGCAAGATGGAGGTAAAAACACAACCGGGGTGGGCGGGCTCACGTGCTGTATGTGTCCTGTAGCGCCACCCCCCCCACCCCGCAAAAAAAAATCTCTTTTCAAATGGTGTTCCAGCGGTACCTCGACTTACGAACGTCTCTTCATACGAAATTTTCAAGTTACGAAATGCCTGAACAGGAAAATATTCTCATATTTCGCAATAGTTTGTGTTCTTTTCTCTTGTTGGGCGAATCCACTTTCTATTTTTCATATGTTGTTCCTTTTCATATTTTTGTCTTTTTTGAAGAATAGTTTTTCCATGTATTTTCTATTTTCTCCCCCCAAAGGGGAAAAAAACAGGATTGAAGAACAGAACACAGAAATCCATTTCGAAATCTTCATCAAAGAAGCCGCTTCGAAAGAGCAAAAGCATTGGGATGGAAATCCAACCAGCCAAACAAATCAAGCCCCTTCCTTCAGTCCTTTTCTCCGACTCCGGTCTGAGTTGTTTTGAATTGCCGGCTGAGTATTTTCTGCTTGGTGCGCGCTCAGCCGCACTCGCCCCCGCACTCCGCTTCATGCGCTTCATGCGCTTCATGCTCAAGTCAGCCAGCAGGTGGCACTGTGTCTCCGTCGCCTCTTCTTTTTGGGGCTTTCCTTCACGCGTGCTTTTTTGTTGGCGACGGCCTGACGGTTTTGGATTGGCTTGGTCTTGTCGGGAGGAAATGTCGTCGTTTGGATGCAGGGGGCGTGCCCCAAAACGCAGAAAGAAGAGGTGCGCTCCACGGCGGAGGCGATCCGACAAAAGCCACCCCCTAACCCTTCGGCACCCATGTCGCCCGAAGGAAGGGAAATGCCGTCACGAGGAACTTGAGCTGTCGGCTGCCGGAAAGCGGATCCGCGCTTCACCGTTCACGTTGTCCCCCATGCCCGCCTGCGCGGCTTTTCCGCGGGTTCCTCCCGCATTCCGCCCAAAACGCGCACGGCAGTTTCCACCCGTGTTTTCCCACCTGGTTGGTCAGAGCTCGCCGATGAGCCGAATCGGCCCTCGCTGCCCCGGTGAGCGAAACGGGTCGGTTGTCAGCGTGCGCCGCGCCGCGCCACGCCCGCCGCCCCCAGTCGGCGACCTTTGCGAGCGTCGGCGAATGGGATGCTTTAAAATTTTGCGGGCACGTGGGAAAGCGTTGACGCTTGCGCTCTGACCGCTCGCAGAAGTTGGTGCGGCAGCTGGACGGATTCATCGGCTGGCTGCAGGGGGCGCTGGAGAGCACTGGCGACTGGACGCCGCCCGAGGCCCACTTGGACGCGCTCAAGCTCTACCTGGACACCCACCTGGTCAGTCCGCACGCACGCACGCACGCACGCATGCCTGAGCGCAGGCCAAAGTTATTTGAGGTGCTTTTTGGACATGTTCAGATTGTCTCCGGACCGCTCGCCAAACAAATTCCGACAAACTGAATTTGAAAAACAAAAGTCAGAATGAAAAATGCAAAGGTCAACACACTTTTTCTCGCTCTCTCACATACACACACACACACACACACACACACACACACAGCTCGTCTCTTTTCTCATTCTTTCGATTCATTTCCCTCCCAATTTGATCACGTTTCCAATTTGTATGCTGCACTTTTTTTGGGCATCTGCTCATCTTCCAGTTGCGCTTTCCTTCTCTTTCTTGTCACGATGCTCTTCTCGTGACCTTTTCTCCATCTTGCCTTTCTTCTCATCTTTGGCGCCTTCCTTTTTTTTCATCTTGTCATCTTTTCCCTCCTTTGCTTCATTTGCTAATCGGTTCTTTCCCCTCCAATTTTCTTCCCAGCGCGTCACATTCCTTCGCCTTCTGTTGTTTTTTTAATGGCACGTTTGATCCGCCTCTTTATATACCACCTCAACCGAACCCCCCCCCACACCCCCGCCCCACACGCGCGCGCACACACACACCGCTGTCTCTCTCGATTTCACTCTGTCCTCATTTGTCGGGGAAAAAAAAAAAGAAAATAAATCAAACAACAATCAGCTGCAAGCATATGGACGCTCATGGCCCCACAAACGCACCCGCACGTGCACCCGAGGTGCGGTGAGACGCGACATCAACATGCACGATTGTAAACACTCGCACGCGCACCGAAAAACAGATTGGATTTGCATTCTTTAGAGAAAATATATACAAGCAGCCCTGTTTTAAGCACACACACACACACGCACACACGCAGGGCTATTATCATATATTTGCATGTTCCTGGACAGACTTCGAAATGAGCATCTATATCTCCCAACAGAACATCACGCTCCCCCCCCCATCTTATTTAGCCGTGTGTGCGTGTTTGTTTACAAGCGCGTGTCTTTTGCCCTGACGCGCACGAGCGTTTGCTGCGCGCGCCAGTCGCTAGGTAAGTCCGACTCGGAAGCGGCGCGCGCGTCGTCCGTCGCCCGCCAAGAAAGGCGGAGGATGAAAGAGCGTAGCGCGACCAGGCTAACGGCGCTTTGGAGCGCCACGCCGTTTGCTCCCCGACCCCGGCTGCGCGCGTGTGCGTGTGTGCGTCTGATAGTCACACTTGGACTTTGTAGTCATTAGCGTGCGCCGGCGTGCTTAATTGCGTGTTGGCTGATGGATGCGCACTTGTCGACTGGGGCCTTTTATGGCGCGCCGATTGCTTTTCCCTCCCGTCGCGTGCGTCGCGCTCGTGTTGATGTCGATCGCAACTTCCTCTCGACGCTGCTTTTTTTTTGTTTTTGAATCGCCTTTGTTCAAAGTGCAGCGCGCTGAATTTGGCTCAACTTGCGTGCCCGGACATGGACCGGAAGAACGCGCCGGATGACTTTTGTTTGGGTGTCGGGAGGATCGCGGCGATCCAAAAACCCGTTTGTGTTGGTCTGTAAGAAATTCGAACGGAAACGCCTTCGCTCCAAAGGCTTTGATGGAATCCGCGCTCGGCAACCGCCACGTCAAAGTCGAGGCTCGACGTCAGGGGCCTCCCAGCACCGCGCAAGCCCTGGCTAACGTGCTCACGCTAAAGGCTAAAGCGCGGCAGGTGGGCGGCGTCGCGCTCTTCCTCCGCGCTTCTCGTCTGGCCCGGGGGCCGCCGGCCGCCGCTGTTGCGCTTCGTCTAGCTTTCATTGCAGACGGCGCAAGCTGACCATGCGCGCGCTTGTGTTGCAGGCGTTCAAACTCAACGTGGACAGCCACAAAGCGCTGAAAGAGAGCATCGTGGAGGACGGAACGGCGCTCCTCGCCATCATGCCCGCCCAGCAATCAGGTACGCCCGCCCGCCCGCGCGCACGCGCTCACGGCCACGACTGATATTTTGGTGAACCTTGATGGAGACGGACCGGAGACCATCTGCGGCGTTTCGGAGTCGAACGGACGCCACGGAACACGTCTGAGCTCCGATGCCGACGACGGGAGCCCAGGAGGCAACGCGGACGTTTCATTGGCCGATTGTCGCCAAAGGCGGCTCGGGCGTGGCGTTGAAGCCGTACGGAAAAAGCGGAAATTGGATCGGCAATATGAGCATGAAAACGAAACGTCGGTCGGGACTTGCCGACTTTGCTCATTATTTCCTCTGGCGCTCGGTCGGCCGCCCGATCCACGGTTGACGCGGTGGCGCTTGTCGCCTTCAGGACTGCGCGACATCCTCCGGATGGTCTCGGGCCAGTGGGAGCAGCTGCGGCTTCAGATCCGCCGCCAACACGCCTGGATGCTGCGCGCCCTGCGCCTCATCCGCGCGCGCCTCCTCCTGCCCGCCGAGGGGCCTCCGCCGGACCGCCCGCAGGTAAGAAAGCCGTCGCCTTCCCGGCGTCTAAAAAGTCCCGCTCACCATTCCGGAATGTCCCTTGACTTCCTCCTTCCGATGGTGCTTTCACGAGCCGCACGCCTAATTAGCGCGGGCGCGAGGGAATGAATGTGACCTTGATGGAAGGGCGAAGCAAAGGGCTGCTTGTCATCAATGTGTGAAATGATCAAGGCTCCTCCGATAGTGAGAAGATATTCATGACCAAAGATGAAGTCGGGACTTGTGTCAATAATTCAGCGTCCGCATCTTCATCATCACTTTCAGTGCGACGGATGGCGAGCGACAGATGCGTGTGATTAAAAAATGCCCGTAGGTGGCGCTGTAAGCGGTGGAGCACCGGCCTCCATTCGTTGGAGTTCCTCGCCGCCATCCATCTGCCCGTCCATCCGCAGCATCCAGTGGGCGTAGCAACGCATCCGATTTGTCCGTCCATCGGTCGGTCGGTCGGTCGGTCGGTCGGTTCCCCCCTCAATCCGCAGCTCGCCTTTGAGCTTCCCTCGTCTTCCTCCTCGGCGTCTCGCCGCCAGCCGCCGCCTTCCTCGCCCTCCCGGCGCTGTCGGCCGCGCGGAGGGCCCATTCATGTAAATGTCAGCAAATATCACAGCCGGGGTTGCGGGATTAGCCGGCGAGGAGAAGACACACCGATAGCGGCAAATATAACGCTCTGACAAGGCCCCCGGCGCGGGGATTAGGCCGGGCGCGCGCACGCGCACGCACCTTGTGCCGTTGCGAGGCGCGGCGCCGCACTCTGAAGATTTGCCGCGCCCGTGCGAGGATTGCCAAGCGACGCGCGTCTCGTGTTTTGCCGCATACGGGGGATGCGGGCAAAGGTTGCCGGGAGCCGCGCGAAGACTAGCGTCGTCGCCCGGTGTCATATTTAACAGCTTAGCGGGATTTGTCTCACCGCACGCTCGCGCCGAAGGAGGGAAGACGCGCTCGCGGGCGGAAGCTTCCGCTCAGGTTGGCCCGGGCATCCTCAACAACTTTCGGGGGAAAAAAAGGTCCACGCGCTCGGGTAACGCCCGCCTCGCCTTTACGACGGTCGAGACGGAATCCGGAGACTCCGATCAAAGTTTGGACAAAACTATTTCAAAACGCAACTCGCGGCGAACGGGCAGGCGCTAATGTTGTGACTGAACGTTTTGCGCACTGAGATTGTTCCCGATCTTCAAAAAAACAAAGGAAGAAACTGTTCAGGCGCTGACATTTTGGAGGCGGAGCAACCCGACAGCGAAACCAAGAGCAAAGGTGACGCCGGGGGCCACCGAAACACGTCTTCCTTTGACAACAACGTGCTTCCGATGGACCTCGTTGCTCGATGCACTTTTTCAATTCCTTCTCATGTGCTTGATGAACATGGAAAGAGCGGCGAGGCGTGCGTGTGTGCGTGCACTGACTTGATTTTCTGCAACATAGCAACCTCCCCCGGAGAAAGCAAGGGGGCGGGCGGCGATGGCTCTTGAGGAGCACGCGGCGACACGCGAGCACACCTCACATCATGCGTCGAGCTGCCGTTCAGCGTCGCGCTGATTCGGGGCCTCTTTTTCGAGGGTGGCGTTTGCAGGAGGAGGAGGACGGGAAATCTTGAGTTAAAACGTGATAAGTCGGCCCCCGCCGGGCACTTGGCGCCGATGCGAGTGCGTGCTTCTTATCAGGGCGGCTGCTGGAGACAGCTTGTTGGCCTCGGGCTTCCATTTCACCCCACAGACCGCGACCGCCGCGTCTGAGAGACAGGTAGAGAGGAGAGAGAGACAGAAAGGAAGCACGAGGGCGTGTTGAGGGCCCGTGCCGAGAAAAAAAAAAAAGCTTTGATTCAAGTGGGGGGGGGGGAACACAAAAGCCACCTTCGGAAGGAAAGTGAAATTCTTCTCCTGGAATGTTTGACAAGACGGGGGGCAGTCGGCAAAGAAGCGTCTCCAGCGCCAGCGGTGGAGATCGGCCCGCCGTCCGCTTCCTGGCTTCTTTGCCCTGCCCTTGAGCGCACTGCGCCGCCTTTCGGTGGAGTTGAAGTTCCCGAGCAGGATCTTGGGGCTTGCTTTACACTAGACTTCCCGACCACAAAGTTGCTTCCAGTCCAGTCCAGCATCCTCTCACCTTGGCCACAATGCGACCACACCCCCTCCCCCCCGACAAAAAAAAAGTGTCCATATATGTATGTAGAGTTGAGTGAAGTATATACCTGAAAGAAGGCCGAGTTGACTTTCTAGTGAGAATGAGCAGAAAAGAGCATAAACAGCCTTTGCATGTGGTTGGGCCTGTGACTCATTTAAATAATGTCCTGCCTGAGGTTATTACAATCTATTAAAAAAAAAAAAAAATGCCCCGTTGGACTCCCGCCTGATACCTGCAACGACCAATCAGACACCGGCACCTCACTTTCCATAATTTAAGATTAAACTCGGGAGCTCCGCGTTGCCGTTAATCCGCGTTGAAGTCGCGGTCATTTGGCGCGCGCGTGTCGCCGCCGCCGCCGGCAGCACACGCGCGCAATCCGAGTTGAGACGATGCATTAAACATCACGTTCAAAGCATGTCGCGCAAACAAACCTTCCAAGTTTTGGGGAAGCGCCTTTTTCCACTTGACTCTTTCCCTGCAAACTCTCCAAAAGTCGTTGAGTTGAGTTGTCATCTCCGCAGATGCAAAACTCAACAAATCATTGAGATTTGTTGACCCCCCCACCCCAGATGGATTCTGCTGCGTCGTGCCGTTTCCGCGGGCGCAATATTCCTTCCTCCGCGATGCCATGGAGGATATTGTTGTCAAGAAAACGTTTGAGTTGACTTCCTCCTGAACATCAGGATACAACGTCGACGTTGATCGAACATAACCGAAAGCGCCACGCCAACCACCCTGCGCATTTGTCCCGTGAACTGTTCAGTCAGGTTTCGAGATGATGCGCGGCACCGAGTCAGCCCCGTTCCGAGTTTTGCCAACCGACACTGGAGACGATGCCTGTGGGGTTTGATTGGATTTAACTGCAGCAATTGATGCAGTGGATCGCGGTCTTCTGATTTGCGGCACCTAGAGGGCCTTGGCGGTCGTGCGCTTGAGTGGTTTGAGTTCTATTGGGCTGACAGAACCTTTTGTGTTAGCCTCACTTGCTCTGAATCGCCGACTGTCGCGTGGTGTTCCGCAGGGCTCAATTGCGGGGCCTCTGCCGTTCTCGGCGTGTCCGCTCCCTTTGGATTCCATCTTCAGGAAAGCGGGCATTTCCTTCCACTGCGATGCGGGTGGACGTCAGATCAAAACGGCCGCTTCCTCACGGAGGCCACTTTGATCCCGTCGTGAGGAAATCAAGACCATATGTATAAAAACTCCCCGTGTCGGCTCTGCGTGGGGTTTCTCGAGGTTTCCTCCTACATTCCGAAAACATGCGCGGCAGGCTGATTGAACACTCCAAATTGTCCCTCGGTGTGGGCGTGAGCGCGGATGCTTGTTGGTCTGTGTGTGCGCTGCGATCGCAAGTAGTTGAGGCTGCCCCCCCCCGCCTGTTGCTTGAAGACGGCTGAGATCGGCTCCGGCACGCCCCGCGACCCGTGAGAGGATAAAGCGCATCAGAAAATGGATGGATCTGTGGATGGATATCGATCATATGAGTAAATGAATCGCAAACAAAATTGTGAGCTGAAGAGCGGGTCTGAAAGACATTTGTTCTTGATTGAATGTCCCCCCCCCCCAACTATTTGGGACGTAAAGGGACTAAATGAGATATGCAAATGCGGCGATGGGAAATAATGAGGGCCGTGTGCCGGTGGCAGGTATTAGCATGCCGCAGCTCTCCCAAAGCTCAGCCGCAAAGTCAATTTCTTGAATCGACTGTACGTACATTTCACTCTAAAGTTGCGAGTGAGCGTGCGTTTGCCGACGGCGGCGTGACGCGCTCAATTTTCTGATGGTCGGGAGTCTTTGCTCTTTTCGTGTCGTCACATTTTTCCTCAAATTTAATTACGTGGATTTAAGCGTCTTTTTTTTTCTCCCCCTCTGATGTGTCGGTCCAACTCATTAAAACATGTCACACTTTGATGAAAGTTGCCAAGCTCAGTCCACAAATGAAGTTTACTCCCCCCCTAATCAAACAGCGCCAAAATGCTTCGTTTAAACCAAAGTCTGGGCGCGCTCTGACTGAAATGAAAATTCAAGAAGAAGCAGCTTGAGCTCCAGCTCGCGCAGAGGCGCTTCCCCGACGGATAAATAAACGGCGTTGCGAAAAGATGAGACCTTTCTCCTTTCTTCGCGCTTGCCGGGGGCCGACCTCCGCGCTTACGAGCCGACAAGGCGACCGCAACGTCACGAGGCGACAAGGCGACCGCTTTTCCTGCCGCCGACCGTTAGCGCCGAGCTAGCTTAGCGTCTCGAAAGATCGTTTGCGCCGACTTGTAATCGAGCGATCGGCTCCGGCGACCTCTCCTGCTCCATTTCAATGTCACCGCCGCGCCAGATATCCGCCGAGCGTGGCGATACTGAATGCGCGAGGCACTTTATTTCGACATCGACTTCAAGAACCGAGCCGTACTTGCCAGGGTAGTTTTGATTGGACGTCGTTTGTCATCGGCCACGAGACGTTTTTACGGCCGGCAGATTGGCTGCGAGGGCCGACGGCGGCGCAAGCTGCCGCCCGCAAACGGCGGCGGCGGCGGTGGCGGCGTACTGTTTATTCTGCACTTCATCATCACGCCCCCCCACACACCCCCCCTCGCAATCCACTGCAAGCGCAACGCACCGCTGACCACGCCGCGAGTGTGTGCGCGCGCGTGCGTGCGCTTGAGCGCGCGCGACAGGGGATGATGTCTATCCCTCCGTCGGAAACCTTGTTAAATATTCATTGACAATTATTCCGCTTTGACCGGAGCGTTTGATGAAGACGATGAGGAAGCCGCCGCCGCCGCCGAGAACGTGAACAAGAAAGACGAGACGACAAACAAGAAGCGAGGACCTCTGTCTGGAAATTTGGATGAGCCACAAAATGTCCAAAGTAACGCGAGTGAAAAGCAAGTGAAGCCCCCCCCCCCAACCCCCCTTCATCGTCACATAGCCGTAATTTGGCTACTCTTCCAACTCGTAACGTTGTCGCGCCGCTGATGGCTTGGCTCAAGATCGCCGCCGGCGACGTCGCCGCTCTCAGCCCAAGCCGGGCCCAGGTCGCGTGAAAAATGGCCGTCGAAGCCGCAAAAGCATTTTCACCGGTGGCGGCAGCGCTTCATAAGCGGACGTCGTGCCGTCGAGCTCATTGAACAACTGGTTGGAGGTCATCTTTTGGAAACGTCGCTGTTTGGTTCACGAAAGGCGAAAGCCTCCATCCCGTTCCGTTCGCGTGTCGGCGCGCATGTCAAGGCAGGCGGCGTCGGGCTTGCTGTCGGCGTGCCGGCCGGGGAGAGAGGAGGAAAAAAACAAAAGATTTGCCTCCCGGTGTCAGAAAGCTTCGTCCTCAGTCGCACCAATGGAAGGTTGAAGGACAGATGGGCCACCAATTAAGAATGGATGAATGATGCTCGGATGAATTTGGGTGAAAGGCTCCATCGGATTTCGGCTACAAATCCTTCATCTTCTCCCCCCCCGCCCCCCCCCCCCCCCCCCCCCCCCCACACACACACACAAACGCGCACACACACACACCAGGTTGCGTCCCCCGGTTTTGTGCGTGTGTGTCCTCATTATTTCCTAATTAGCCTGCATGTTAATTAGCATGGTGGCTAATGTTAATTAGCTCCATTAATGGGAGGCGCCGCAGCACCTGAAAACCCCCGCCGACGCCGCCTTGCCGACTCCCGACACGTCTTCATCTCAAACGCGATGCGGCAGCGAGCCTCGCATTGAGCAAACCACGTTGACCGCGACGACGCGGGCAGGCCGACAAAGCTGGCGAGGCGTTGGGCAAAGAAGGCGGGCTCACAACGCCACCGCGAAGCCACTGCGTTCTTTGCCTCGCCTCCACCCGTTGACATCCGTTGTCAGACGCGGAATCGGAGACGACGTCTTTGTTTTGAAAAGCGTTTCGGGCATGGGAGCTTTCCCCGACCTCCAAGCGGGTTCTTGAAAGGAACGGAATGACAAAATGCGCTTGTCGTGATCCTGTCTCATGACCCACCGCTGCGCTCCATCAAGACAAAAACGCCTTCCTGTTAGATCACAGCTGCCCCGCCCCCGCCCGCAATCCTGACCTGCACGCAGGCGCACGCATCGGATCGTGTTTTTAATCCCAAGCGTGGTGTCTTCTTCGTAAGGACATGGTTGTTGTTGTTGAAAGGTCAACGCGCAGGCATCATCGTCCCACATCACACGTTTGTTTTCGCGGCGATGCCGATCGACGCTGTTCGGAAGCGGCGCCGTCACACGGTAGACGCTCCAATCCGCTCGCAGCGTTTAGCGGCCGGGCCGAGCCTTTTATTTCAAACGCGCCTCCGAGCGACGGCGGGGACCCGGTCGGCTGCGGCCAACAAGCCGGCCCCCCGCCCGCCCCGCCATCACCTCCAAAATGCCAAAAGAAGGCCGCCGCTTGGGGCCGAGCGCTTGTTGCGCTTGTCGCGTTGCAAAGTCAGAAAGACTCGGACGTCGAAGCGCAACGAACAAGTCGGCCGCCTAATGAATGGAAGCGTGCGCGCATTTCAAGCAAAAAGTGAGCGAGCGCGTTTTCCTTGCACGGCACGCCCGTCCGCCGATGATTGCGCGTTGGCGTTTTGTTTATTAGCTCCCTGATTGAGGCGCTCTGTCTCCACCAGATTGGATGACCTTTCCGGATCCTTCCGCCGAGTCCGCTAAGTAGATGAGACGGCCGACCGCTTTTCGCGGCTCCTCGCGCGCGCGCGCGGGTTTGTACCTCGCAGCCTCATCTCCATACGGTTTGGACGCAATTACACGCGAGCGGCGCCAAGTGGCCCGGATACGATTGTGAGACGCGGCGTGACGCGCGTGAAGGAGAGCGCCGCTCGCTCTGACCGACGCGCGGAATGCGATTCATGCGAAAGGTGCGCGTGATTTACACGCGCCCGTGTGCGAGAGGGGCGGGACGAGGCCAGAGCGCGGCATTCACGCGGGCCGCGCTCCAAAGGGCACGTCCGTCATGAGACGGCGACCGGCTCCTTCATCTCCAATAAGTGGCTCATCGCACACGCCGGCGTCGGCGGCCTACGTCGAAAAGTCTCCAAATAGCTTGATTGGCTTTCATTCCAAAAGCGGCCGAGCAAACGTCGAAGCTTTTGGGCCCAAACACGCGGCGCCGATGGGCGGATACGTGTCGGCCGTGAGGCCCGAGTCTCACGACCGACAAGTCACGCTGCGCTCGCATCGCTGGCCGAAAGGTGCGGTGACCCTGCGGAGCCCGCGGGTGGTGCCGCGACGGGGTCGGGGTGAACTCACCCGTCGCTGTCTGACTTGGACCGTCGCCACGCTCGCAAACTCCGTCTTTCTCCGCTCCTCCACAGGCGGAGCCGCCGTCCGGTCTCCAGGACACCCGGCGGGACGCCCTCCGGGAGATGGCCGCCAAGCTGGGCGACCTGCGCGACATCTCGCCCGCCGGAAGGTAGGACCGCCCGTCGCCGGCCACGCAATTTGGGGAGTGAAGAAGTGAAAGCGCGCATGTGAGTGAGTGAGTGAGTGCGCACGGTGGGCGTCCCTCCCGCCGGCGAGAAGGAAGCCGCTCAAGAGGGCGAGCGCTTCATCCGGCCGTTTCCGCCTGGTCTTGCTGGCGTTTTGGCCAACTTGCTTCGACATCGCTCACGTCGTGGGGAGCTTGGCGGTCCGCGCATGCTTGTGTGTGAGAGGGACACCATGTGAGAGAGCGTGTGTGCGCGCGCGCGTAGGGGTGTGTGTGTGTGTGTGTGTGTGTGTGTCAGCCGAGTTGCGCTCAAGCAGGGACTTTGTTTCTTTCCTGCTGCCTTTTTTTTTTTTTGTTTTTGTCTATCCTGTGTAACAGTGGAAATCAAAGCCAATGTTCAAAAAAAAAAAATAAAATGCAGCAAGCTGCTCGCAGCAACCAAGATCATGCGTTTGTCCATGTGTGCCCCGCCCGACATTCCCTGGCGACCATTTCGGGCGTCCCGCCTGCAGAAAATGTGCGCCTACGTAACCGTGGTTTTTTTTTTGTTTGTTTTTTGCCCACCTTCAGGCCGCAGGACTTTGAGCGAGCTCCCGAGGAGCCGTGGGATCTGCCGACGGAGGCCGACGACGCGCTGAGCGACGGCCGGCGGACGACCGCCTTGGACCGGCGACCCCGGGTAAGACCGGCGCCCGCCCTCGTCCGCTCGCCCCCGCCCGGCGCCTTTCGGCATTTGAACGGCAAACAAGATGGCGCGCGACAACAATGGAAGTCAACGCCGCGAGAGCGGCCAAGGAGAGCATTTGCGTCCGTTTGGCTCCGTTGTTTTCGATTCTTTCTCCCGGCACGGCCGACTTTGCGCGCGCGGGCGGCGCGCGAGCGACATGACTAATTCATGGTCCAACACGCTCACCTGGCCTGCGAATTATTGATAAGTGTAAAGATGAAGCTAATTTCTCCAAAGGAGCCTCGCTCAAATATTCATCCGCGTATGAATATTCACGAGGCGCATCAATTTTCCATGAGGGAGGAATCGTTCTTCTCCTTGCGCGTCTCCGCCTTCCTCGTCTTCTCTCTCCCTTTTTTTGATGTGTCCGCCACGCCGGTGAAATATTGATGGCCCTCCTCGCCGGGCCCAAGGTCGCCAGTCTTGTCTTCACGGCGGCCGGCGGCGAACGGCGCCGTCACTCGATCGCCGCGGTCGGACTTTGACTCGCGCCGCCGTCGGCCTCGCTCGTCGCGGCGCGATGACGTCGGGCCGGCGCGGGCTTGGTTTGCGGCGCCGCTCCTTGGGAAAGGAAGCGCCTCTTCAGCGGCAAAGCCGCCGTCCGGCTTCGGAGGTCGGCCTGAGGTGACGCCGTTTCCCCTTCCGGTCATTCGGACCGTCGGGAAAGAGCCTCCGAAGAACTTTGAGGTACATCGGCATCCGAGTGCGCCATCCCGACGCCGCGGAGGACGCCAATTTGGCCTGTTGCCGAAATCATTGTCGACGAACGGGACCGTTAACGTGACGTTCGTATGGCTGCCCGGAAGTGCGGCCATACGCATCTGTCAGTGAAGCGAGCTAGCGTGGACGGACGCATGGATGAAGTGTTGGCAATTGGCGTCTCCTTTATTTACCTCTCTCGGTGTGTGTGTGTGTTCCGGGGTGCTTTGGAAGAGCTTTTGTGAGTGCTCCGTGCGCATTTGCCTGCGTGTGAGCGGAAAAGAACCTCGCAGTGTTCCCCTGAAATGCTGGGGGGGACTCACCCCCATCACCATAGTAACAGCGCCAGCCAACAAAGTTTGTGTGCGCGCCTCTTGGCAGTCTTGGGCTCTACTGTTTATTGTGGCCTTCTGCTTTTCAACCACCAAGGGTTGGGGGAAGGAAGCGGGGGGCACACACCAGTGCGTGTGTGTGTGTGTGTGTGTGTGTGTGTGTGTGTGTGTGTGTGTGTGTGTGTGTGTGTGTGTGGGGGCGGGGGTGTG